GTGAGACCCGACAGACCCTGTACTAAATACATATTTTTTTTTAAAAAAGTAAAAACTAAACTGCCTTAAATCAGTTTTCACTTAATAGCGTGATCTTCCACAAAATGTAGCAAATGACACTTGCTCTGGCTACTTTGAATGGGTGCTGGAAAAGATTAAGTAACAGAAATTGCATGAAAGTATGTCAAATGATACAGACTATTTCATAAATGTCATGTTATTATTAAATGTCGGTCTTTTTATCTGTGATATATTTCTTTTTTCTTTTTTTTGGTGGCCAACTCAACCTGCCCTGGGGGCAGACTGGCATGGCGTGTGGTGCTGGGAATCAAACCGTGGTCCCTGTGGTTGCCTAAGCTTGCCTAAGCAGGTGCTTTAGACCACTGAACTATCTTGCCAGCCCATGTGATGTATTTCCACAGAAAGGATGCTGTACATGGTCAGGTTTAAGACAGTCCAAAGAAACTTGAATAAAAGATAGTATGACATTATTTTATTTTCTTTCTCTGAAATCCACCTTGATCACTCCTTTCTAGACTTTTCACTCTATAGAATGATTTATTGCCAAAGATTTCAAAATCTGTTTTTGTTTGTTTGTTTGTGAGGCTGGGGATTGAGCTTGGGACCTTGCATTTGCCAGGCAGGTGGCTATGGCACTGAGCTATCTCTGCAGCCCTTTGAGAACTTTTATTAAAAGTAATTTTCCCTGTTTTCCCCATTTCTTCCCACTCCCACCATTTCAGAACTCACCACTGAATATTAGATTTCTAATTCCATTCCCACTTGCTTCCTGTGAGCCAAGTAACACTCGTTTTTGCTTGCAAGACTATGTACTAGTTGATAATCAGTTTCCTTCTATATGGAAAAATAGTAACAAAAGCAAGAGCTTTTAAAAATATATATTATTGTTTAGAAAAATAATAGCAGTAATATTCAGTTTCTAGGATGCCAGATGAATTTATAAGATCCTCTTCCTATATGAACTATTTTTAAAGAGTAAATATATATTTCATCCAGTAAAATTCATTTTAGAAATACAATTCCTTCTAAAGTAAATGCACTATAATGAAAATGATCAATTCCTTGCTGCTCTCCAATCACATTACTTAAAATTATAAATAAATTTTTCATTTCACTATTTAGAATCATAAACAGTGACTAAGATTTTATATTGCAAATGAGCTAGACAATGAATAGGGATAGTAAAAATTGAAACAATTAAAAAGATTTTATGTAAAGAATTTCAAATGTTTAATGTGCAAAGAAATTATTCTGTATGTTGATATTGATTCCAGAGAAATTTGGGCTGGAGTGTGTGTGTGTGTGTGTGTTATTAAAGCCAGCCCTGATCCAGCGGCTGATGTTCCTATAAGAGGAGGGAAATGCAAACAAAAGAGATACCGCGGGAGGGACTTCCATGTGGCTGGCCGCAGACCTGGTGCATGGCATCCACAATCCAAGAAGGACCAATGATTGTTGGCAACCACTAGAAGCTAGCAGAGAGGTCGTGGCCCTGTTGACACCTCAACTTCATACTTCTGTCTTGTACAATTCGAGAACAAATTTCTGTGTTTCAAAGCTACTCAGTGGCACTTTTACAACAGTAGGAGTAGGCCCCTGATATAGCTTATCTCACAACTTTGAGTTCTCTCTTCATTTACTGTTCTGATGAACACAGCCAACAGAACTGCTCTTGCTTAGAAGGAGAGGAGGGCAATAGTGGCTATTTTGATTCCAGTATTTTTGTCTCACCCTGGTAACTTTATACCACTTGGCCACATAAACCTACTTTCCAGGGATTCAATCACTTACACTGCTCTGCCTGGCTCCGGGGACAATGTTAGGAATGGGAATTATTCTCATGGAGTTTTCAATTGAATGAGAGGATACAGAAGGACATGGGATTAAAATAAAGTACAATTAGTGCTTCCTGGAAACCTAGGAAAATGCAAAGTGAGCAAACAAGTATCCAGAGAATAATTTTACTCTCCTCATCAGATTTGAGAGGAAGCTGGGGAGATAGCTCAGTGGCCTAAGTGCCTGCCTAGCAAGCACAAGGTTCTGAGTTTGATCCTGGTACCAAAGGGAAAATCTGGACTAGCTACCCCTACGGCAGTGGTTTTCAAATTGTAGCTTGAGATTCATCAGTAGATGGTAATTTTAATTTTGAATACCATGAGCAGTATTTTAAAACAAAAAAAGGGGATATAAAAAGGATGTAAAATATAAGAAATAAGAGTGTATTAGACTTTATACAATTTATAGGCATTATTTTGTGAGGCTTTAATTCAGTTATATGCATGCCTGTGATGTGTCTGTGTGTATATGTGTATAGCTATCCTTTGTCAGCATAATACAACTTTCTTACTGCAAGTTGCAGCCTACATTTAATAAAACATACACTCCTGAGTTCCTGGTAGCAGTGGAATGCTAATAATCTATGATAATTAAGCAATATATCATCAGGTGCAATACAGTACCATAGGCATACATTCATTACTTAAAGAAATATTTTCAATTCAGTGTGCAAAATGCTATTATTTATAAAGAATGAAAAGGGGAGATTTAAATATACACATGCTTTAAACTAGGCTAGAAATGTACTGTGTATTTCAAAGTACAGAATGATAATAATTTTGGCATCCACATTAGATTTTTAGAGCTCTCTCTAAATCTTCCCTATCTACCTGTACTAAACTGAGTTCCTAAAATTAAAATCATGCCACCATGAGTTTTCATAACACCATTTATTGAAGATACATCTTTCTCTAAATATTTGAATTGCACTTTAATGTAACACTTTCTATTGTTGCTTCCAGTCTAGCTGCTAATATATTCTCCAGCCTTAACAGTTCATCCCTGATCTTTCTTAACCCATTAGACCAAGCTTTCATAATGGCTCCACTCTAGCACTTAAATGGATGCTAATTTAGTCTGGAATGTATATTTTAGTTTTTCTAAATTAGATTAGCATATATATTCTAGAAGAAGATATTTGTTTTATTATACAGATGTTTATTTAAATAATCCTTTCTCTTCATAAGGTCTACTAATAATCGGAAATACATTGTCTTTTTTCCTTTCCTTTTTTATATATTTAATACACGGTTACAGGGTCTTACTATGTAGATCAGACTCCTAGTGATTCTCCTGTTTTTAGCCTTCCAAGTGCTGGGATTACAGGCGCGCGCCACCACACCCAGTCTCAATTATCTCGGTGCGCCCTCGGGGAAGGGCCAGCATGGCATCCCGGGGATTGAGCCGCTGCTGCTGTACTCTGCCTGAGCAGGCGCTTTAGTGCGCTGAGCCATTTGGCTGGCCCTCTCTTTTCTTATTGCAGAAAATAAAAATCTCAGTTTGCTTCCCAAAGCAAGTTATGTCATCAGATTGGGGCCAAGGAGTTTCTCTTAACTCAGGCTGGCCGGGTTCTTGACATAGTGATATATAAACCACCTTTTATCAGTGAGAGTCATGTGCTCCAGTGTGTTAGGCAGAGCTGAAAGTAAGAGAAACTGGGAAGGGGCTTTGGTGTGAGGAGCTATTGGCACACAGCTCTGATGGAAAAGATCGGACTGGTCCATCATCAAACGGCGGGAACAGCTTCACGGGGTTGGTGGGACTGGCAGCATCCGCTTGGTCATTACTTCAGTTCTGGTTTTGCAGGACTGTTCTGGATAAGTCCTTCCATCTTGGGAGGACAGCTCAGCCTCCACGCAGTGATCATCTCTGGTTGGTGCGGTCCCCAAGTGACTACAGATCAGAACCACCAGAGACTTCTGGCTCTGTCGGGATAACTGAATGTCCCTGCAGATGCCTTATGCTGGTGCTGTCGTCTTGAAAGGGGATGAGATAGGTTATGTCAATTTAGGGCTGACCAACTATGTGGCCTGTTTCTAGACAGACTCTCCCCAGACGATTGCCATGACTGTATGAAGAGTCGACCTAAAGTTTTAAAGTAATAAAAGAAACAAATAGGAAATGAAAATCAAGTTTTGTTCTGCTTTAGTTACCCACTGGGCATCTGTAGGCCCCAGTGAAGAGTTACTGCTTTAAACAAAAGCAGCTTTTAAGTCCCTGCCAGCCTCAGAAGAAAATGCAAATTGAGTTTTTAATGAGCTCCATGTTAAGGGTTCAGAAGCTTACTGATCCTTGTCCCAGGATGGTCTGAGTTATAAATGCATCTCTGTGTACATTTTTTTTTTTCCTTACTATTGTGCTTATGCATCCTCCAATTCTCCTCAGGGACATGTGTAAAGGTCTTCTTTGCCTCCTCTATTTCCCAAGTCTAATTATTTATTTTTCTGGTTCTCAAGTCTAAGCAATACATGGGAGACAGAATTCTAATTCTTCTCTCCTCCTTGTTCCAGTTGGGCCTGAGAATTACACTGATATGAAACAGACCAGCAGGAGATGTGTACAGATTCTTTACAGGTATAGGGAGTCTCCATAGGCCAGCCGAGCCCAGGGAAACAGTTAGAGCAAAATATTTATATTCCAAGTTGCACACTGAGAAAATGTGACAGTAACTTAGCTCAGCCAGGTAGAACTGTTATAGATAGTCAGGTAGGGCTGGGCTCTTGAAAGAGTCAGGGCAAAAATGAAAAGCCATTGCAACCATGGCATCTGCTGGAGGCCATGTCTCAAGATAAAGACAGAATGACCAAGCCTGAGATAAGTTGGAAGTTGACCTAATGAAGTCTAGATAGACATCAGTCACTTTGATGGGTGACCAAGACCCTTGGACTCATCACTTCCTTAAAAAGTTCTTTGTTCTTTCCATACGCATTTGTTATATGAGTTGTTTCCCTATTGGATCCCTATTACCTAACCAACCATACTTGTTTGCTGTTCATGGCTTTAACCCATGTTGTACACATATGGGTTTTGCTCTACAAAAACTTACCCTGGAAAGTGGGGTCCTTGGCAACCTTCTTTGGGGTCCCCTCCTGCCTCTCAGGAGCTGTGTCTCCTCTCCTCAATAAGTATTCCTACTCTGAAACTCTGTGGTTCCTAGAATTCATTCTTTGATTTTAGAGAACACAAACTCAATGTATCTGACATGTAGCAAGTAGAGAGCTGTAATAATTTCCTTACAGAAGCCTTGAGATCATTCCTATATCAACAGGACACATGTGCTTGGGCCAGAGCCATCAACTAGGAAGTGACCAAGCAGGCGAGTGCTAGCTTGTCCAGGTCTGCACAGATTTCTCCCAGCCCCACTGGTGTCTCATCTCTGGTGATAACAATATGCCTGTCCGCCTGGTGCAGGAAGTGGAACTTTCCGTGGGGCTTCATGTCCTGCCTTCAAGCAGAAAAAGGAAGGTTGGATGCTCTTGGGCCTGAGGTACTGTATTCTGGCCCGAGGTACTGTATTCTGGCCCCGCTCCATTGGTCAGGGGGGAGTGTGATCCACTCCATATTGTGGGCCTGGAGTGCATCGGTGCGTTTGATCAGCTTCCACAGGTGGAGCCCTGAGCCTGCCTACCTTCTGCTGGGAGAGCGACTTTGCCAAGGGTTTTCTAACATTATGGTGCAGAAAGGGGAGGCTGAAATGCCAACAAAATTGGGAGGGTGATACTAGCCATGCAGATGTGAGCTTCCTGAGCTGGCATTGAGCACCATTCGCCAAACTATGGGAGCATTTAGAAAGCCTTTCTAGGTGCACAGCTCAAAATGTTATGTAAAAACCAGTTCTCACTGGACCGAGGCTAGTTCATCATACTTATGTGTTACGCTAGTCAACTGTGTGAATTGCATTAATCATAATGATACCGGAATAGCCGAAAGCAGTCTTGGACATGCAAAGTGAGTCCCTAGAAAGTTCCTGAGTCTTCCTAACTCGCTTGATGGTCCACAGTGTTCCACAGCTCTTCTGGGCTCTGGGTGTGACACCCCAACCAGGCTCTGCACAGGCAGCCCCAGAGCGGCACGTTGCAAGAGTCCCTCTTTGTCCTTAAGCCTGTGATGCGCAGAAATTGGTGACTTGACCAGAAAATGTCACTTGCACTTGTTCTGAGAGCAAGCATCTTGGCCCTGCACCCAAGGCACTGAGTGTTGTCTTTCTTGGTTATTACTGCTACCTCAAATCACAGTGACTTCTTTCTTCTGGGCAGTGACCCAGGGACAGCTATGCCACCCTGATCCCAATTTAACCCTCATCCCAAATGAAAGCCGCTTTTCACGAGAGTTTTAAAGAAGAGGATTTTGGAATCCTACTTGGGTTCCTGGCCCAGAGTCAGTCTCCCAGGATGTCCCACAAGTTTCTCTGGTTTCCACCCTCACCAGGTTTTAGGATTGTGTAGGTCTCAGATTCTATTTCTTGCTAAAGAGCTCAGTTTTCAAAAACTCCCTAGGAGAATGGCCAGTCAGCCCCCACTGCAATTTGTTTTTGTCTATGCTTTGAGTTATGATTTCCCAGAATAGCTTGAGCCAGAGAGGATTATGCCATATAATTCATGGATTTGGGGAGAGGATTTTTCTGCAATAAACTTATATGTACATGCACATGGTGAGCATAATGCTGCTACCTTCCTACATACCTACTTATAATATATATGGTTATGGCAATCAAATTTTTCAAGATACAACTTTTTTTGGAATAGCTGAAATGAAATCTTGAATTCACAATTGCAGATAATTATGAGACAAGACAGAAGAAAAAAGGATAGGTGGAAAAGAGACAAGGAAATTGTCAAGTAAAAAATTGTACTGTTGAGGAACGTGTAGCTTTATGACATAGTCAGTGACTCAGAGTTCCAAGGCTCTTTAAATCCCCAGGCCTGACCCTGTTTCCACCTTCTCACTCCTAAATTCCCTAGAGTATTAAAGATACAGTAAGTTTAAAAATGGGAAATGTATTTTTCTTCTGGTACTATAAATCCACAAATTCCACAGACTTCCCTTCTCCAGGAAATGGTGCTATTGAGTATCATATTCCTAAAATTAAGACAGATGCACATGGTTTGCATTATAACATAGTCCACTAGCCAGAGACCTGGCAGACACTAGGGAAACACTTTCTAGATCATCTTGAACATCCCCAAGATCACATAAATACCCCCCAATCCTGCATGTGATGTGTCGTACCCTCTAGCATCTACACCCCTTCCTGTTATTATTATTATTATTTTCTGTATTTTAGGGAAGGGTCTACAGGGTGTTCAAGGTCTCACTACTAGATGAGACTCATAGTGACCTGCCTATTTACAGCCTCCCAAGAACTGGGATTACAGGCGTGCATCACCACACCCAGGCTCAATTGCCATCTCAGTGTGCCCCGGGGGCAGGGCTGGCACAGCAGGCCTGGGGATTGAACCCTGGCCCCTGTGCCTGCTTGCAGGTGTTTTAATCCACTGAGCTATTTGGCCGGCCTTGCACCTCTTCCTGAGAGCATACATCTTGAGTACTGCTTAATAAATCTCTCAATGGCTAGTGCAGGTGCATCTTGAAATGTTTTCCTCTGCTATCCAGAGATAAGTTTATTCTCTGGTGGGAGGGGCAGGTTGAAGTCACCATCCCATCTTTGGGAGGATTTCTCAGACCCTATCTGGTGACAATTAGAATAAGAAAAATTTATTGTATACCCTGAAGAAACCATTAACAAATCTGCATTCACACTGCTTGGAGAAGATCTAATTTTTAAGGTATGCAGGCTCCCCTTCCTATAAGACAAATTAAAAATTCTGAAGGCAAACAAAATTTAAGTTGGTTACTGGTCATTAAGCTATAAAAGAGCATGTTTCCTTTTGAAACTTTAATCATCTCCAGGGATATAAAGACCAAATGAATCAGGTGATATTCTAAAAAAAAAAAAAAAACAACCAGTAAATGAGCCTTCTTTTTCCTTTTAAAGAAAGCTGTTTCCAACTCACTGAGCTCCTGTTGTTAAGTCAGGAAGCTGTTTACATTCCACAGGGACACCAGTGTTTCTTTGAAAGTGGAAGAAACCCTGGGACTAAGAACCCTGCACTGCAGCCTCACAGTGTCCTGGGCCCTCAGCTTCTCATCCCCAGACACCCTGGTATGTGATTGGAGCTTTTCTTTCTCTCCAGTAAAGTGCAAATTGTTCATGTCCATGGCTGCCAATCAACAGAATAATTCCTTTGTCTTTGAGAAGCACCCTTCACCAATGATTCCTGAAGCTAGCTGAACTACGGACCCTTCTCCAGTGACGCCCTCTAGAAAGCCTTCTGTCACAGACCGTGCTAGAGTAGCCTGGTTGATTTTCTTCCACTTGTTGGTTTATTTGGGAAATGTCAACTGTCTTCTTATTCTTGGTCTTTAACACACATCCACATATTACTGTTCTTTTGTTTTCATTTAGGCTTTTAACTTTTGCTCAGAATTTAAGTAAAGACAAAACAAGACCGGGAGCACATGTTGAATGGCATGTCACCTTTCTGTCCCCTTCAACCTGGCCTTTTTAGGTTAGGGAGCTATGCCAGGAGTGAGGTTTGTTATTTTGTTGGTGCTCTGTTTTAAAGAAATGAAAGAGGTAAAAAAAAAGTGAGACTTATAGAC